CAGCACGCATCACGCGCTCAAACTCATCAAAAGTCAACAAGTTCAACAAGCAACAACGACTCCAAGTGACCGCTGCAGAACGCACGCGAGACCGAGACGAGGCAGCGCAGATCACGCGTCTCATAGGTGAGTGGGGAATTTACCGAACGTGGCACTTGCGGGAGTTAACACTGTATGCAATACCCGCAACCTCACACCAAATTTCAGGCCGTGTAGCTATCATTTAGTAAGCAGAAATCCGAAACTTACCTTAACATATGCGACTGAATCGATGCTTGAAGAATGCACTTCCAGCAGCCATAATAAACAGTTGGCGGTTAAAGTTTTCTATGCACAATTTGATTGGACGAAAGTCACGAGACTTATTACTCTCTATCCAATCACGTTGATGGATAAAAATAAAATTAAAAGCATGTAACGACCACAAACGGATGAAAATAGCGGAGTAAAAGTGCCGATACATCACTTAACATGTACTCAAGTAAAAGTCCAGAATTTGTAAACTACTCCAAAAAGTACAATTACTGATAAAAACTACTTAATTACTGTAACGTGAGTATTTGTAATTGGTTACTTCACACCCCTGGCCTAATGGCCTAGCTAAATGATTACTGCGGTCAAGCCAGGTTTTTTTGTCTTGCGCGTGTAATTGTGCACTTACGGTACTGGTACTGAGAGCAGTCAAAATGCATGTAAAGAAGCTTTCATACCCACGTTTCCTTAATAATTTGCTTATATTAACTTTTCTTTTTAGTTTGTAAATACATAAACATTTGTATTGTACATTAATTATTATAAATAATTTATTAATGTTTATAAATGTTAATATTAATGTTTTATTTTCATAATTTTTTTTATTTAATGTCTGTGTGTGTGTGTGTGTGTGTGTGTGTGTGTGTGTACAACAACAAAATTCGTCCTAGCACTTCCAATGTGTCCAATATTCCAACGCTCATAAAAAGTGTTCCTTTAAAGTAGGGCTGGACAATAATTCAGTATCAATATGTATCGCGATATAATTCTTTTCAATAACGGTGATATGATTTTTAAACACATTTCCGATATTTCGATATACATTACCAGTGTTTCCCATACATTGATTTATTTGTGGCGTTTGACTTCGTTGAATAAACATGAGCACTGCACGTTTCAATATCAAAACGCGGCGCGGGTGGTTTATATGAATGTATCTCTGAAGGGAACCGACTGTCTTCAGAATAGTTTCGATGACATTTTCATTGTATCTTATAAAGTAGAGTTCATGAGCAGAGCTGCTTTGTTTATAGCCGTTACTGGAGAAAACCGCTAGTTCTACTGCTCTCAAAGCGCCTCCTGCTGGCAGACAATCAGTTTTTC